ACGGACCTTCCCCTTCACCATTGGCATGATCTGCGATGCAACCACGGAGCTCACCCCAGGGGGGAAAAGCTCAACTCCAGTGACCTCAGCCGGTACCCAGAGCAGATGATGCAGGGTCTCGCAGCGGCCATCCTCTGCAGAGCGGGACCCGTCCTGGAGGCGCTGAGGCCGGGGGGCACGGTGCCCCAAGTGAACCCAACGACCCCCCCGAGGCGGCAGAGGGAACCATCTCCCAGCACGCCGGGGGACAACAAGCGCCAGTCCCTGAGGCTGAAGGCCGGCCAACAAGCGTTGGCGGGACTAACCTTGGGCTCACGTCCGGTCTCGGCCTCAGACAATCCTGAGGTCCGGACACCAACACAGCCGGCTGGCAGGGAGGTCGAACTACGGGGTGAAACTCTTCCCCTTCAGCCATGGGCACGCCATTGCATGGAGATCTCGGATCGGCCCACCACCCTGCCGATCACGCACGACCCAAATCTCTCCGACAAGGTTATGTACCTCCAGATGGCCTTCAAACAGCGCCCCCTCAGGGACGGGGGTGGGAAGCCCTCACTTGCCGTGGACTCGGCCACTGTTCAAAGCAGCAGCGATGGGGGTGTGTCCTCACGTCGCCATGGGGGGACAAACTCCAGGAGTCGCTCTCGTTGGGGGACGGGTCACACCCCTTCCCGGAGGATCTGCTGGAAGATATCAGGGAGATCCTGGCGCCAGGGGCAGGCCGACCAGCGGAAGGCCAACCCTTCTTCCTGGACATCTTGCACAGCCTGGCGCTGAACATTCAGGACCCCGACCACCAGTTTCCTCGAGATCTGGAACAAGGGGTCCCACTGGGGGTCACGGACCCACCCCTAGCCTCGCCGGGCATCTGGCCACTCAAGAAGGAGTTCCAGGAACTCCCTCATCCCACGGGCCGGGGTAACTACCCCTCAGCGGATCACTTCAGTGAGCTCATCCGTAGCACATTCCTGGAGGAGGTCCCCATGGGCATGGTAGATGGCCCTCTCACCAAGGTAGAGGCAGCAGCGCGCTGTGGCTGCAATATGGAGGATCTTTGTCCAGGCCCCCTAGCGGGCATCGACGAAGGGGACAAGATCCGCACCATCTACGATGGCTCGGTGGGCGGGGCCAATGACACCATCAGGAACCAGACGGTGGAAAGGACGACGGCTCCGACGGTGCTGGATGGGGTACAAGCTCTTCATTGGCTACATGCGGCAGCTGAGGAGGGACCTCCCTCTCAGGGTGCCCCGGTCGGAGCCGGGCACCAGGTGGGTGCTGCTCAAGGCGGACGTCACTAAGGCCCACCGGAGAGTGAAGGGTGGGTGAACAAGGTAGGCACACACGGCATGGCCAGTGCCCAATCCTACTGGGGACGCCTGGCAGCCCTTCTACTCAGGGTCCTCTACACACTTTTCCCTCAAGTGGATTGGAACTTCGTCTTTGTGGATGACTTCCTGTGGCTGCTTCGCAGCGAGGGGGCAGTAAACTTGGCGGTGGCGCTGTTGGCAACACTCCTGGCCTTGGGCACCCCGCTTAGCTGGAAGAAGACACATTTGGCGGAGGTCAACACGTGGCTGGGCTTCGTGGTCCACCCGAACATCCCGCAGGTTCTCATGGCCGCCAACAAACACATCCTGGTGATGGAGGTCTTGCAGACCATGGTGGAAGGGCAGGCGATGCACTCAAAGGACATCGAGAAGGCCCTGGGCCGCATCCAATGGGCAACTGCTGCATGTCCGCTGGCGAAGTCGATGCTTCAGCCACTGTGGGCCTGGAAGATGGCCACCACCACGGTGGGGAAACCCCCCAAGGTGGTCAGGATGCTGGCGTTCATGCTGCGGTTCCTCTTCAACACGCCCTTCGTCCAGTACTCCCCTTACTTGCCGAAGTCCTCTTGGTGGGGTTGCAGCGATGCTAGCGCCTCGGACGAAGGACTGGCATTTGTGGGAGGCTGGTGCTCCAACAAAATGGAGCCGGAAAAGAAGGAGGTGTACTGGTTCCACGAGCAGATCCACGTGGAGGAGTACCCGTGGGCATTCAAGAATGGGGATCCCAAGCGGAGGATTGCGGCTCTGGAAATGCTGGGCACGCTCTTCCTCTGTAACATGATCCTCACGCACCAAGGCCCTCTGTCCTCCCGGGTCCGACTCCCGGTGGGCAGTGACAATCAGGGCAACGTCATGGCGATGCTCAACCTTGGATCCAAGAAGCCCTACACCGCGGCTATCCTGATGGAGCTGGTCTTCCTGCTCCACACCCATGGCTGCTCGCTGGCGGCCAACCACGTGCCCCGGGAATTCAACCAGTGGGCCGATGAGCTGACGCACCCAGATTTCTCTGGGTTCGACCCTTTGCACAGGGTCCCTAAACAGGAACTCTGCGAGGAGTTCGTTTTTCTCCCGCGTCTCCTGAATGGAGATGCATTTGATCTTAGCGTGGGCCCACCCATGCTCCCGTGACCGGAGCCGGTGGGTGACTCACTTCCCCTGGTGGCAGACCCCCTGTGGCCTGGGCCCCGGCTCAGGGGCGGGCGCTATCAGTCTGCACGTTCTTCAGTTTTTGAGAGTTTGTGGTGGGTGGCCCATGGGGCCCACCCAGCCGTAGACATCTGACAGGGGAAGATGAGTCCCTGGCACCAACACATTGCTTGGATAAAAGAGTTATCGCTTGCTTGTGTGGTGCCGTTTGGTTAGCTTACATACACTTACTAACCTCATGTTGCCATGGCTTAAAAAGTGATTTGGGGGTTCCACCCCATCCGAATTATTCAGCCGCTGGTTCACGACTCAGGACGTGCCGGAGCCCTTCCTGGAAGCTTTGGAGGTCTTCTGGTACCTCCGACAGGTGGCTCGGCGGATTTCGTTTCGCTCGGTTCCGATTCGATCCGAGCTTCAGACGAGGAGCGTTCAGCCGGAGGTTTTCTCTATGTGTTTGGTTGTCGGCCAGGGTTCGGCTTGTTTTGGGAACCCTTTTCTTGCTTGGGTTTACAGGGAAACCAAAAGGACACGGTTTTCTGGGTTCCCACGTGTATTTTGTAAAATGGGTGATCCCAATTTCTTCGGAGTCCGAAGAAATGGCACTGGCCCTTGTTTGACTTTGTAAGTCCAGCGGTTTTCAGCTTCAGGACACAACCTCCGGTGTAGATCCTCTCAGTGGAAGGGTCACAACCCACCGAAAAGGCGCAAGTTCCCAGCGGGGCAAATCGAGGCAGCCGATGACAGGGGATAGGTCTCCCGAGAAGAAACGAGGTCGATGAATTCGATCCAAGCTGCTCAAAATATACTTGCCGCTCAAAGCGGGTACAGGAAAGGAAACCGCCTGGCTCTTTGCACATGGATGCTCCGCGTAGGGAAGGCCCTTGATGTTCTGTAGGTTGAACGGTTGAAGCCGCAAATTGGCGCTCCTTTTGGGCAGGAGTCTGAGAGGAATCCATATACGCTCGTGCATGTGAAGTGTACCTGGCCACCAGGAAATTTAAACTTGACAAAGATGGTCCGATGTGCCAAACCCGAGGCCACGTCTACATGGTTGGCTTCCTTCAAATCGGTTCCACCGGTGACTCCCTGTTTTGGCACGGCAGGGTTGTGCCAAAATTCAGCGCCGGAAAGCGGAGTTCCGGTTCAGGGAGTTGGGTCGTTTCTTGGGAGTTGGGTCGAGAACTGAGTTTGGGTTTCATTTCGATTGTTCTCTCTTGATGTTCCAAGTTACCAATCTGGCTCAAGCGCAATCGGACATTCTTTCAGCTGGGGCATGATAATCCTTCTCTCATGCAATATGACTGCTGCGACCGTACCCTGTGCAAAGCTCGTGATGGGAACATTGCGTCGACGGTGACCGAGACTTTGTGAACGGGCAGCCGAATCATTCTGGACCTGAATTGAAGTCTCGCAAGTGCCGAAGCACCTCACGATCATGGTGTGTGCTGTTTGTGTGCTGACCATCCCCAGACTCGCCGGCTGAAGGGCGGCGGAGTGGTCCGAGTCGCTTCTTTGGCCATTTGCGTTTTGCGGCTCGGCTCTGGCCTGGGTTTGCGCCTACATGTTTCCGCTGGAGGGGTGTGGTGGCCAAAATCACAGCGTAATTTTGGCCACGATCTCCTTTCAGCGTAAACCAACTGGATGGGCAACATGCACCTCTCGGCAGCACCATGAAGCTAGACAACACTCCCTGCACGTTCCACCAGACTCAAGATGTCCTCGCAGCAGGTGGTTAACCCGGGCCAAGGGGTATTGCAATTGCTGGAGCTGGGACACCCCTCAGGCCACCACTTCATGGCCAGCTCACAGCTGGATCACGAGCAACAGTGCTTCAGACAGCTAGACTGCTGACTTCAGAATTTTGGGAGCATGGCATTGCTTGAATAAAAAGCGCATCTTCGCGTCATCTTCGTTCGGAATCTTGGCATAGATGACGGCAACGGATGCAAACAAAGAAGCTCCAATTTGGCGGACTGGAAGCTGTGGCCAGGGAGCTTGCAGGCACCTATGGGTTTCGGGCCTGTTCCGGCCCTTCGTAGACTTCTCCACTGAAATGAAGAGGGGCACACAAACCCTAGATGCTACCTGGTGGCCATGTGGAAAAAGAAAACCACGTGCCCTTGTTTCGGTGGTTCCTTTCCAAGGCAAGCCCGCCAGATAGAAAGCAACTCACAGGGGGTTTGGTGGCAGACAACTTGCAAACTTGCCGGTGAACTTGACCATTTGGGCCAGGTCGGGGGGTTCATCCACACCCAAAGCAGACTTGAAGCGGGTCGTTCAAAGGAATCGGGCCATAGGCTTAAGCAGACTCTGCTTTTCGGTTGGCCAGAACTTCCTCTGCACTTTTTGGATTCTTAGTTGGCCCCTACAAGCAAACTGGTGGCTTGTCGGCATAGGTGAGCTCAAAAGGGTCGGTTTGGTTAAAAGTCATGGCGCTGCTTTGAGTTTGGTTCGGATCATTTGCCGGTGCATCTCGTGTTCCCCCTTTACACCCACGCCAGCTTTTTGCAGCGGTCAACGATGGCGTGCCGTGTCTGCCTTTTTGCAGGGTACCCTTGGGGTGACTTGAAAGTGACAACCCTTTGGCACAGGAGCTCCTCCTAGCGGCCGTTTCAAACAAACATGAGAACAAATGCGGATATGGCTCAAAATCAAAGAGGAGGGGTTTCGCGGGTTTTGGTCCATGTTTCCACTTACCAGGGTTCCATTTTGGCATTCCGGTGTTTTGAGCCATAGCCATGTGACACACCCCACGGGTCCAGAGCTCCCCAACTTGGAGACTTTCTTCAGCGGGGGGGGGCGGCCGCCCGGCCCGGCGCTTTCAGGTGGACTACCTCCAAGGCTGCCCGCAGCTGTACGAGAACTACAAGGTCTCGCGCTTCCAGGAGCGACGAAATCGACGGGCGAGACTGAGCCATGTGTTTGGCTTCCCATCTCAACAAGGCCAAAACCGCCATGTCAGCCAAGCTCCAGTCTTGAGCCCAAGGGATCCGGCCCGACGAAGACATCCCGGGATCCCTCCGCAGGACGTCTTCACCAAGCTCCAGGCGCTCTCCTGCACGGACTACTCGCAGGCGAGGAGCCGCCCGAAATCGGCATGGGAACCTGGATGTTCGCAAGGCTCGTGGGGGGTTTGGTGTAACGACTAGATGAGGAGGGAAGCGGTTTTTGGGGGGGGGGCGTTTGGCCTGCATGCTGTCCCTTTGTTTTTCATCAGCCGGCTCGGAATGGAATTGGAGGGGAGAAGCAGAGCATGCCATTTCGCGGTGAGGTCGTCCCTTGGGTTGGGCGCTGCGAAATGGCTATGAGCTTCAATAGGCCGCAAAATGTGGACATAAATCTCCATGGTAAGTGATGTCCACCAAAGGGTCTCCATTGAGAACTCATAATTACCCAAGTGAGCCACAATCAAAGCCTTGTAGATGAGCGGTAAGGGGCAATTCCAGCCAGAAACAGGTGTGGGTATCTGCCCCTTCTACTCTTTAAAGGGTTTTGGATAGACCACATCAGTACCAGGTCCTGATTGTCGGAAGGAGTACACCGGAAGGCCCAAATGCCTCGAATCTGAGGAGCACTTCACCTGGGTATGGGTCAAAATTAAGCCACCAAGAATCCACAAGTTTGAGTCCTTGGTTTCATTTACAACGGTTCCAATTTGGGGACCAATTCTTGACCCACAGCCGCCTTTCTCTCGCTTTGTCTCCGGGAATTTCTGACTTGGGCATGCGACCCCAAACCAGCCGCTCAGAACCAGCAGTTTAATTGCTTTTTGCGGGGCAAAAGGAAGCCAACCGCGAGACGCCACTTCTCAGACTGGATGCCGTCCAGTTTTCCCGCCCATCCGCTGATTGGGATAAAACCGCCCGTTGGTAACCCAACCGCCGGGCAGTGGCGCATTGAAGTCTGGCTGGCAACAGACTGCGGGACTGAACTTTGAAAAGAAGAACGCAACGAGGTCGGATGATGGAACCCAATGAGAGATTTCGGCTGCGTGAGTGAGCATTCCTTGTCAATCCTTGTCACGGCCATGCAAGTACCTTTTCACATAAACCCAATGGTTGTCTTTGCTCAATGGATGGCCGTCTCTTCAGAAGCGTCACGCTAAGAAATAGGATCTTTCTCCACTGAGTGAAGCTACGCCGTGGTGACTTGATGTAGTGAGATGCCACGCAACCCACACAGAAGTGCCCGGCCTTTGCTTTCATGCAGCTTGCCCAACGGCCTTTATCTGAGCGACACAAGCCTCGCATTCTCGTTGGCGCTAGTTTGCTCCCCCTCGCCCAGTGTGTTTGTGCGTGGTTGTGTGTCTTAAAATAGGGAACCCCCACGACTTGCGGGTGTTCCCAATGGTTTACCTTAAACCAACCCCAAAAAGGGTACCCTCAACAGAGAAGACACACCCTTTTGTGTCTGCGTGTGTGATGCCTCGTCGGAAAGTGGCAGGTTCTAATGATGGACCTGGACATGTTGGTGCGGGGGAACTTGGACGAGCTTTTTGAGCTGCGTGCTTCGGTGGCGCTTCAGTGAGGATGCATGTGCCGTGATTGATCGCTCCAAAGAAGTGCTAGGACTACATACATACGACTGCCATTTTTTTAAAGTGCTGGGCAGTTCATAAATACATACAACTTCCATTTTGTTTAAAGTGAGCTCACCTGAACATATTGGTTGGGGATGCCTCGTTTCAGACAAATTTGCCATGCACAAAACCCCTAGTCCTTTGGGCTTGGGAGTGCTGAATAACATCAGCCCCTTCAGGATTTCCATGCTTTTCTGACCCATTTTGGGAAACCAACCACCACATCTGTTCTTGGGGGTTCCAAATCCAGTTTTGACCCATAGGTGTGTCTTTGTTTCGGGGACCCCCAAAAAAAACACACACACACAAGAAACAAAACAAACACAGAACCCTTTAAAGCCCACGCAAAACGGGGGCGCCCTCACCACAAAGACACCTTTCATCTCCTTTTCGCTGCCGGGAAAAATGGCCCTAGGTAGCCCATCAGATCCGATTCTCCGGCTGTCAGGTGCCCCTGCCGCGCTGAAGCGGTGCTCAGGCGATTGGTTTTCGGGGCCCGGGGGAGAGACGCGGCGGACGCAAACCCGGGGGTTGAGTTGGCCAAAAGGGAAAGCCGATGCTTTTGGGGCTGCAGTCTAGGGTCAACACATGGAACCCTAGAAACAAATCCTTGCATGGTTGGGTTTCAATCTGTGGGTGTCAAGGGGACAACAAAGCCTTGGACAATGCCTTGGATGGTTTTGAAGGGAAGCTTTTAACCAAACCGCCCCCATACAATGGGGGCCCAGGAATATTGAGAAAGACCCACGGCATTGTCTTCTTTTGGGCTCACCGATTTCTGGCTTGGATTAAAGCCACCCGTAGAATAGGGGTCCCCCTGTTTTGACAATGGGTGTCGTTTTTGTTGGGGGACTCCCAAAATTGTGGTTTTTCTTCTTGTTTCCTGTTTCAACACCACCAAAAAAGGGGTAGCCCTCAAAACGACACAACTATGTACCCATGCATCTTGCACCGTAAAAGTAGATGATCACAGAAGCTGGCGATCGGAGGGTTTGGGAAGACCGTTTTGGGAAGGCCCCTGTTCACTTCCATGATTCCCTTGATGTGCGTAGAAAGACGATAAAACCATAGGGAGGTCGTGTTCTCTGCTTTCACCTGTATAAGGGGTATGCCCTACGTACAAACTTATGTTATACAGTAAGTTATACACACCATCGCCGTACCTCCAAAGCCCATTCCTGAGAATTTGGCGTTAAGTGGAAGGAAGCCATTGGCTTCAACTTTCAACAACTTTGACCACGGTGTCCACCAGGAAGGTCAACAAGTGCTTGGTCGGTTTTCCTGTTGGTTTTCGGTCCTCCCCACGCACTTCTTAGTCTTCGAGGCATCACCAGCTGCATTCACGGCCAAACATAACTTTCCTGGTCTGCCGTGGTGAGATTGAAATTATGCCATGTGCAGGGAACTTGGCTGCTTAATTTTGCTAACGGACCAGAAACCGCGCTCAACGGCGTGCACTTTTTTCCTGCAACCCTGCATAGCACGCCCGCACCACTGCTTCGCCCTGGCACTGCGCGCACGCCTGACCATGGTAAGCGCACCCGCTCGACTGCTCCGTTACAGCACGCCTGACCATGGTAAGTGATTCGTTACAACACTGCGCGCACGCCTGACCATGGTAAGCACACCCGCCCGACTGCTTCGTTATAACACTGCGCGCGCGGCTGACAATGGTAATCACACCCGCTCGACTGCTGCGCAATAGCACGCCTGCCCATGGTAAGCACACTCGCTAAGACTGCTTCTCTACAACACTGCGTGCCAAGAGGACGATGCTTCTCACCGAGATCATGTTGGCTTGCTTCATGCACCAGTTAATCACAGTAAGGGAGAGTTTGTCAAAAAATGTTTTTCGCGGACGCGAAAAGGTCGTCTGCCACACTGGCACGATAGACTCTGCGCATGGTCAAGCTGCAAAGCATATGTCCCCAATTCGCTGCTTTCGTGCAGCCCGCATCTCCTCTTGTATGTAAAGTCTTGGCAGTGGCGCTATGTCTTGCGCCTGCGAGATGTGGAGCAGCAAACTCGTCGTTGCAATCGCAAAGGTGTGAAAAAGGAGAAGGCAGGGAATGGGCGATACAATTTGCGTTTCGCCTCGGCGAAACGCAAAACGCCTCTAAAACTGAGCCCCGGTTTTTTGGGAACGCAATGGGCATTGCGCTGCGGTGAAACGCAAGTTTCTTCAGAAAAGCGGCAAAATGCGAGCGCGGATTTCGGCCCGCCGGGTTTATGCTTGATTTTGTAGGGTTTCGCCACGAAGCAGTCGTTATTTGCCGCTCTTGCTTCAGGTTCTTCATCTTGGTACCTAGTAGAGTCCAAAAAAAGATTGCATGGGCCACTGGCTCGCCCTAATTTCCCTTTTGCATTTGCCCTTTTCATAGCGAGTTGGTGTGAATGGCATTTCCTTGGACGCAAGGCGCTGAAAATATGTGATCTTCTCAAGATCGCGCCCTGCCTTCTCCCTGGCTTGGAACATCGGCGTGTCAAAGAGGTTGGCGAGCATATGGGTGCGTCTATTTCGGGCCCAAACTGGTGGTTTTCCCTTTGGTTTTCTTCAAACCCACCAAAAAATGGGGTATACCCTCAAAAACGACCGCCAGATTGAGCCCAACCGCCACGGGTCTTTTTCACCAAGTCGGCTGCTCGGAGGCCGGGAGCAGCCGGAGCACGGCGCAGACTTCACCGCGGAGGACCTTTGGTCTTGGCAACGCGCGCGGGGCTCGGTTGGTGGCTGGGGCCGCCGTGGGCAGGGGATGAATCTGGCCGCCTTCCGACATCTGGCGCCATGAATTTTCATGGTTGGAACCCCCTGAAAAGTGATTGCTGGACAGAAATCCCCACCGAAATGATGGCCCTAATTAGAATTCATACCCATCTCACGCGACAAAAAACAAAGAAAAGGAAGCTGTTGGCACGGCAGTCAGCAACGCCTGACGCGCGAGTTGCACAAGGCGCACCTTTTGGGCGAAACATTTGCCGTGGGCTAAACTTTGGGCACCATTTCTTTGATGCATTTTGCTTGGATATCAGGAATTTAACTCTTTGCCCACTATTGGGTTTTCCATTTCACCACTAAAAGTTAAACTTTTAGCAGGGGAGCAGAAAGCAACCAAGATTTGGAGTGTCTTTCTTGAGGGTACTTTTTTGGACCGATTCCGAAGGCACCCATTTAACATTTGAACCCCTCTCATTACCTCGTGGCTCCAGAATGGTCGGTCCAAGTGGTTCCCCATTTCACGCGCTGGGTTTGGGTCTGTTTGCAGATCTTCCAGCTGGTTTGGTCCTGAGCGGAGCCGGATCTTCCCGGCATGCGCGACAAAGTCTGGCCCGCCGATTTTTTTGGATTTTGGGGGGACGCCCTTTTTCCTGGCTGGCAAATCTTCCCAGCCGAACCCCTGAAAAGGGCTCGTCACGTCGAGCTTCCCAGCGACTAGAACTCGGGGCTGACTCCAAGGACAAGATGAGCTCGGGCCTGAACGCTGGCGCTCGGAAGCCCAGGAATTGACATGGGTGGATCTGAAAATGGACGCGCGGAAAGAAACAGAAAAGAAAAGAAAAGAAAAAACACGTCGTCCAGAGGCATCGCCGAAAGGGGGAGAAGCACCGGTGTCTTGAACATGTGAATGTCCACGGAGCTTGGTTGAACCTATAAGTGAGAGCTGCTCATTTGAAGCCCATGCGAGTGTGTCACGGAAGGAACAAACCATCGTAATGGATGAGGATGTCTCACCTGCGACGACAGGGCCGAAGAACTCCCAACTCCATCGCCTTGCGAAGGATCGCCTTCCAATGGAAGCCCATGGGTCCCTGGAGCTGTGAGGTATGTTGCGCCCAAAGGACACCCCGGGGAGGCACCTGGTTTCGGCGTCAAGCCCGCAGGTCATGCTGTTGCGGCCGGACGCGAAGGTCTACGAGCGCATGGTGCGAGAGATACGCGCGCCTTGGGCAGCATCTCTCGGTCCAAATTTTTGGATGTCGCCTTCGGAAAACAAGTGATTTTGGCTATGGCTCACGTGGCTTAAGTGGCTCAGTTGGCATCCCTTTTCGGTGTCAAAGAAGCAAGAGGCCTCAGCAAAAGCGGCTATCCCCGCGTTTTGGCACATGCAAGAGGTTTGGCCACTTTTGACTGCATCCGAACGGTCAGATTTCTGAGCTGAAGAGCCCAAGTCAGAGTCTGTGGCTGTAGGCACTTGTTTCATGCAAGGTTGCGGTAAGGCCTATGAACACCGATATATATATATATATATATATATATATATATATATATCCATGGGGCTTCGAAGCAACCATCATACGATGATTTTTGTCCAATGCTGAATGGAATGAAGTAGGAGCTGGGATTCTGCAGATGTCTTTCAAAACTGCTGCTTTAGAGTGCAGTTTGCGTCTCACCTGCCTATTCTATGGCGAGATGCTAGCTTACCCATGTAGGAAGCTCCCCTGCAGTTTGTCCCTCTTTTGAGTGAAGATTGATTGCGCCGATTCGAAGGGGGTCCTTTCTGGAAAGGAGCCGAAAAGAAGCCGAACGATCTAGCCCTTGGTTTGACAAAGGGCTCTTATCAACCGTCAAAGACCAGCACTCCTTGCAACTCCGCCAGCATAGGCAAAGTGACACGAGCTCACCGGGTGAGGCAAGCTGCATGAAGGCTCCTTTTTTGGTTGGGACAATCCTCAACTCCTTGGGGAATCCTTCCCTCGGACACGGGCACATCCTGGAAACCAGCAGGAATGTCTACCGGATTTTCGCCAAATACCAGCTATATGATATGTCTACAAATTCTAAGGGAAAAACTCAGACATTTCCTCCATGCTAGTTTCTTTGAGCACAGTTTTCAGGGCTTAAAGGGGTCGCTTGCAAGGACCCTACGCACCCTGAGCACTTGGGCACCTTTGGCCCTGAGTGTCTTGGCCAGAGGCTCTTGCTATCATGGCTGAAAATTAAAGAGCTGGGGTGACGCAGATTTTAGTTCTTGGTTCCACACACCAAGATGTTTTTGAGCCACAGCGATATGGGCTGGGCAACAGGGAGATGCTTTTCTTCTCGTCCGCTCGCAAAACGAAGGTTGACCCTGTACTCGCGAGATCTCTCTGAGTTTAACCGCCAGTCAAGAAAGGTCCAACATTGCCATTTTCTTTTTTCCTACTCTTGGGATGACACCGCCAGGCGAAGATAGCAGTCCTTCCCTCTCCCATCCCAGTGACTCAGTGTCTTCGGTTCCCTTCTATGACTATATGATGTTGGGCGCACAAAGGCAAGAGAAATGATATGCATTCAAGAGATTCCATTCTGGCGGTTATTCCTGTAGACCTATCTCTTCCGCTCACGAGGGACCTATCCTTGAATGCAGCCCCCATGCTTATTTTTGCGTGAGTTGGTGCAGTGCTTTTTTGAGGGCCTCTTTCACCTTGAAAGGGAAGCCAATAGGAAAGCCATGGAGCCCCCCCACTTTGACACATTCTCTGGCTATGAGTTTTAATGGACATGGTTGGAAAGGACGCAAATCCCAATCCAATTTCGGTCTTGAGATTCATACACCCATTTAATTCACCCCAACTATGGATCCCACCACCAGATCCCTGAAGCTGTTGAGTGGATGTCTCTGCCTCACTCTTTCTCTGGCGTTCTGAATTGGGTTGTGTCTAAAGCGGTTGAACCCCTCTGAGTTTTACGGTTTGTTTCATGCACCTTTGGCCCCGAGGCGTCGAACGGGTTTTGGCAAACTTTTTGAGGATGGCAGCTCGGTTCCCTCATCAAACTTGGCGCGTGAGAGCCACAGAGAGGCCGACCAAGAAGGTGGGGAAGGTGGTCTTGTTGGCACCGGCTTGCTTTGCCCCAATAGGGGGTTCGCCCTACCCGCAGCGCTGGAAGTAGGTTGGCGCTGTGCACCGTTGGCCGGGTGTGGGGTGTTGGCGGGCTGGAGCAGCGCTCGGGGTGCCAACGGTGTAACTGACTGGCGCACGACCCCCGTGCGAGGCCTTTTTGGGGCCAACGCGCGCTCCGGTCCGGTAGCGGGGCTGGGAAGAAGAATCGTCCGGTTGATTGCCCAGAAGGACCTGGTGGGTTCGTCGGTTGCTCTTATTTGGCAACCGCATCCACCGGTCGTGGATGGGTCCTGGGTCCCTCTGCCGGGCCGGAGCTGCGTATGACAGCAAGACTATGGGCTAAGGTGCTTGCTGGGAGGGCCTGGTTTCCGGCCTGCCATGGAGGGGAGGCCATACCATGAGTGTGCTGCCTTGTTGATGCAGTTGCAGATTTTGCAATGGAGTGGCCTGCATGATGGTTTTCCCGTGCTTCTTGCTCAGGTTGCAGCTCAGGACCTGACTGAGACCGTCCTTTCCATCTTGGCTAGCGGATGCACTTTTTCCCTTGCAGATGGTTTCTCACATGGCTGGCCCTACACAGAGCTTCGTATGTCGTGTGTTACACCCACACCCTTTGGCCTACTGCGCGTGCCAGAAGTCGCTTGCAAGGCCCCATTCTACGACTTTTAGCTCCCCAACAAAACGCGGCGCCGCGGGACCGCGGGACCGCGGAGGAGGTTCGGTTGGGTGTGCGAACCCAACCGAAACCGGAAGTCGAGGCAAGACTACCTGGCGCGCTTCTTTACGACCTTCGGGCGGGGCGCGTGGGCCCACCTGCATGCCAGGCGCTCGCGCGCGTGTTTTTTTTTTTTTGGTGTGTTTTTCTCCTCAGTCCTATGGATCTTCCCCAGAATTAGCTCCCCTTTTTGATTTTTGCTTTTTTGGGGTCCCCATTGTTTTCCACTATCCAGGCAACAAAATGTTTTTGTTTGCTGGGGTCCGAATTCTAGCCAAGGGATGTGCCTGTTTTGAGGGTGCACTTTTTGGGGGTTGGTTTCAAGAAAAACCAGGAAACCCCTCATGTTTGGGGGTTCCCAGGTTTTTTCACACACACCCAATGGTTGGTCCAACCATAAATAGACATTCAGGTTTCAAGAAATCAACACTGTTCGAAATATTTTTTGATGAGGCAAAGTCTAGCGTGACCTTGGAGAGCCAGTTTGTAAGCTTGCCCATGACGAAGGCTACTTTCTGGCGGCGGCCCCCTTAATTCAGGGTGGTGAATTACGTTCCTTAATTCAACCAGCAAGATGTCACCCTTCGAGGAGCCACCAAAAGAACAACAACCATAGTCGCCTGTCCACTTTTGAAATTTGGGCCAATGGCAGCTTTGCCGATAGGAAGCTCTACAATTTTCCTCATGGGATGCAAGACCATGTTCAAGGGCACACCAGCTTCTAGGAGTCAAGTGGCTATGGTTGGAACCGCCGCCTCCAATCCCTGGAGTTTGCAACGTGCCCATAATGCTTGGCTGCGAACCGCTCAATCAGGTCAACACATCCAAGCACAGCATGCATGGGAAAACACATCATATTCACGCATGCTCAGAGCGAATCAGTCAAGCATCTGAACTCAGCAAACTGAAGCCTGTTGAGCAGGCACATGTTGGCTTGCAGCTAGGACTGTCCGACACCTGGCAAAACGCGCATGTCAGACTCGACATGCTTGGAGCAGCAATTGCTATGACGGAATGCTTCTACCTGAATAGTCCAACGACTTCCTCTTTCGAAGTTGTACACTTGAGGTTCTCAAACATATCTTTTCTGGTGGGGGCCAAAACTACTGTAGGTGGTGCTTGAAAGGGAGCCGTTACGCAGCTGGTAGCCAAATTTGCCTTGGACCTTTTGGAGCCAGCAGTTCTGTAGGGACATCGTAGAAGCTGAGGTAGATGATCAGTTTTGACAACGGGAGCCCGATAACAAGCTCGGAAGGTTCAACTACCAGCCCAACCTCCCGGATGACTACGTGGGTGCCGCGCATCGAAAGCTGGATGCCGCTCGAACGGCACCGAAAAACGGATGGGCCTCTTTGTTTTTTGATTTGTGGGTGCTGTGTGACCCAAACCGTAGCCATGGGTCATACAACTGCCTTTGCTCGGGGGGGAGAACAAACACACCACCCCTCACACACACACACACCTCCAGTTTTGGTGTATTTTAGTCTTCCCCAAGGGGTGTGAAAGGTGTGTGTGTGTGTGTGTGTGTGTGTGTGTGTGTGTGTGTGTGTGTGTGTGAAGCGTCCTGGAGCACGGACGGAAATTCCACATTGCAGGGGGACTGGAGCCGATTTGCCTATCCAGTCCAATGAAGCTACGGCATTTCGGTGGATACCGGATCTGATCAATCCGGCGTACCTGCCTATTTCATGACCCTCTTTCCTGATTCCTTTGCGGTTTCTGTTTGTCGCTGTTGCTTCCTGTTCGGTGTCGATGTTGTGACCTGTTGATTTGCATTTGCATTCAAGCATTTTTACCGACTGCGTTTTTCATCTCGGCTAGTGAAGCCTCTCGAGATAAGTGTGTTTACCCACGGCCTGTCCGACATGGCGCTGTGGGCTGGACTCGCCACATGCGGGAGCCCCCTGCGAGGGGAAGACCGTTCATACGTTCAAATTCAACCTGCCGTTCAGCGCGTTTGACCACGATCAAGGCTGCAGCTTGAGGTTTTAAGGTATTCCGCACCCAAATGGTGCTCTGCTGGTTTCATGCGCGTTGCACTGCCTGCACTGCCTGCCTTTGAAGCAAGGCTGCACCCACGAGGTTTCAGGTTCCTAAGCTTCATGCGCCAGTGACGAGTTGGTCATACACCAACTCTGCAATTCGTGGTGTTTATGGAAGCTTTCGTCTCGGATGAGTTCAGTTCAGATTCATCGGCATAGCCACATGAGGCACTTTCATGAGGCCACTTGACAGGCACCTCTGAGAACCCCTTTGTGCTCGCATGCATTTGCACCATTGACGCATTTTTGCTCGCATGCATTTGCACCATTGACGCATTTTTGCCGCAGTTGTGGTTTTGTTTCACCCCTTTCCAACCTTCTCTCTCCCTTGCGAGATGGCTGGACACCAGCTCTATGACATGATGCATTCGCTCCTGCATAGCATTGCGACCGGCACCGCGTCCGGCTCACCAGGCAATTGTGGACCGAACTTGCAGCTGTCATCCCAGATGACGCAGCCCATGAACCTTGTACCGTCACCCAACTCGCAGACGGCATCCTTCACACCTTTCCCCATGATGCCCTACGGCGGCCTCTCGAACTTTGGCAACCCGATGGCCATGATGCCCTACGGTGGCCCTCCCAATTACGGCAACTTGGCACCTGGCACCATCATGCCTTTCATGACTCAGAGCAGCATGCCATCTTCACTGCCCGAGCCTCAGCCGGCGCGCGCGCCCGAAGCTGCCGCTGCGGCTCCTGCCGCTACCTCCTCAACCAACCACCCTCCCCCGGACACTCGGCACCATCCCCACTCTCGCAGATCCCGTTCCCGCCACAGACAGCACCGACACTCCCACTCCCACACCAGCCACCATCGCAGGCACAACAAGTCGCACCGACGACACGACACCCGACGATCCCGCAGCTACAGCAGGTCACGTTCCCTTTCCCGACACTTCCACCACTCCCGACGTGCACACCACTCCACTGTCTCCCTCCGCTCCCGCTCCCCCCGACACAGGTCCCACCATCGACACTCCCCTGCACCCAGAGCCACGACTTCGCACCGACCCACTCACACTACTCATGATTCCACCTCCTGGCGCACTTCCGGGAAGGATTCCAACAAGTCTCAATGGTCCTCCTCACACTGGCGGAACCAATCGTGGGGATACCCACCACAGAACAAAAACCGCTGGGACATGCACCACCATGGCGCCAGCCACACCGGCCACCGAAACAACCAGGACAAACGATCGTCCTGGTCACTGCAGCACCATGGGCAGCAACCCCACCCCACTTCCCGCACCGGCCACCACAACACTAGCTTGCCCCCTCACCCAGCACCTGCGGCGGCCTTCACTTCCACTCCCCCTCCCCCTCCCCGACCCACGCCGGCTACTCCTCACCCTCCCCAACCCCCTTCGACAACACCGGTGATTTGGATCCCCCTCCATCGGAGGCGGACATCAATGCCACCACCACTTCCGACAACCGGTGGCTTGATCTATGGAGAAACGTCATGGACACGGCCAAGACTGACCCGCTGCGAGTTCCCACGCCTAGGGAGTTGGGGGAGCTGGACCCGCTTCCAGCCTTGGACATCTCCAGGGTGGAACAGACTAAGGCCATTTTGATGGACCTGGACCCTGCTTTGCCACCTTCACATGCCGATCTCCTCGCGGAATGCTGGGAACTGCGAACCATGGACACGGATGATCCCATACCGTTCGATCCCAGCTTCTACCACCTCTTGGGACGGGAATCACACGGCATGGTGTTCGCAACCACTTGGTTTCCCCGACCTCATCCTTGGCCAGTTGCTGGCGGAGACCCGGAAGCTGGATCCGGCACGGCCTCCCATCACGCTGTCATGTATGTGCACGGCACCACCCCGGATCGAGTGCGCCGCATGTGCCATGAGAACATGATCCGACCCGCTGCTTGGAGGCCCGAGAACCATGACTACCCGAGCTTTGGATGCTACGCTCAGGCCACCCCCACGGCATGCACGCCCGACACGCTCGGCCAGCTCTTGCAGAACTTTACAATCGGAAAGTCTCAACTCGGCGCCATCGCTTTTGGGGAACTACGCTCCATCAATCAGCACAAAATCCTCGAATCCGGGGGAAGCCACGAGGATCAACACAACGTGCGGCGCCACTTCGCATGCCGCCGAGGCAAAAAGTGGTGCCTTCACTCCAAGTTTGCGATGCTGAGAGGCATCGCGCTGCAGCGCCCGGCTTAGCGGGGCGCAACTGTACCATCTTCCACCCAACCAGGAAAAGAATTGGTGCACTGTTTGATCGCCTTTTTTCTTTGCTTTGCTGTTCTGCCTTTCCGCGACCGTTCTCTCACCTTGTGACCTTACCCGCTTGATTCCGCTCACCAGCTTTTGGTTCGAACATTTCCTTTTCCCCCGTGTTTTCTCATGGCTTTCCAACCCCCTCGAGGTTTGGTTACGGCGCTCCAAAGGCAAAACTTACCACCGCAGCCTTCGCCCACGGCATCCCATCATCATGGCATCGTGTACGGCAACAACATGGCCGGGAACCCGTGCGGGGCCCTGTCCGGGCCTTCCTACGGATGCTCTTCCACGGCATCGGCACCGCCAGCTACACATCCGACTCCCTGTCAGACCTACGGCCAACCTATTCCCCGTTACCCACCACACCCCGGCCCTCGTCCACCCTCCTTTGGCGGCTCTCTCCCCCCCCCTCCCGGCGGCAACCCCTTTCCCCCCCCTCCCCCCGGCCCCTTCTCCCGCCCTCCCCCTTCCCCCTCCCCCTCCACCGCCTCGCAATCCAAACCTCCCCCGGCCCTTCGACCCATCCACTCAGTCCCAACACCAACCGAGTTCAACCCTGGCGACGATCACTACGACACCACCCGCGTCGCGGGGTACGACCTGCCCAAGGTCATAACGCACACCGCGTTTACTCGGCAAATGGGCATCGAGGGACAAGACATCGCTCGCGTCCCCCTCCTCCACTTCATGCACGAACAGTGGAACAGTTGGTGGTTGCGTCACCTCGCCCACGGAGGCGAAGTCCGCATCGTTGTCGCAAAGTCGATGCCGGAATCAGTGTTTGCTGCTGGACTACTCAGCCAAATCCGACAACGGCACCTCGACCTGGACGCCCTCGCCCTCCATGTAGCCACGCAGGAGGGCGCCTCGACCACCAAACCAGCAGCCATGAAGCTACTCACCAGCAAGATCTTCGACTTCCTCATCTCCCTCCGACCCACCACTACGGCCGACCCGGCCTCCGCGGCCACCATACTCCAGCTTCAGCAACAGCTTGCTGACGCACACAACCAACTCGCCCAGCAGGCTTCATCCCCCCCTCTCCCCCCCACACCCACCTCATCCAACAAACGCCCAGCCAATCCATCTCAGGCCTCCCTCCTGGACTTCGGCATGAAGCGACCACGGTTGACTACACCTGACACATCACCACAGGACGGATCCCCCGCTCTACCCCTGCCCACTCGCATTGCAGACGACTCCCAACCCCCCCCGGCTCCCCCCACCCACGGCGGCAACCCTCCAGCCCTCCACCCACGGCGGCACCCCGACCCCTCCCCCCCTCCCCTCCCCACCCACTTGGAAGGAGCCCCGCGACTTGCTCCAACCACCTCCCCACGTTTGCCAATGGCTCACCAGCAACTTCCCACCCGACATTTCCGACACCAAAGTCCAGCGATGGATCACCTCTCAGAAAACCAGCAAAGAGAGCAAGCAAGTCCTAAAAAGCTGGTCCAACGACTGCGCAAAATGGGCAACCACACTGGACTCCGACACCAGAGCCCAACTCGAACGAGCCGCTGTGCTATGGGGCATCCCGGTGCGAACCCTATCAAAACTGGGGTCATCGGCCTTGGGCCGCATCCTGGCCGCTGCGAGTCACTTCTACCAGTGACTCTCAACAGCACACCGACAACGACGCACAGCCAGGCAGCACAAATTTTGGCAACACCACTGCTGCCAACTTCTCACTGTCCTCCGTTTCACTCTTCGGTTCTTCCCAACCGATGACGTCACCGCACGTCATTCTTGCTCCTGGCTACTCGCACAGCTTCAGCTACTTGACGTCTGCCATCTCTCCTGTGGTTCCGGCAGACTGAAAGCCCTGCTTACTCGACTTGGCCTGGACAACCCTGCTTCCGATTTCTCTTCTCAGCTTGTCCCTTCAGCGGTTTATCTGAGATTCACCAGCCATCCAAAGTGGCAGGCCTTTTTCTACCTCGGAGCCACTCGCGCCTCCCTCATGGCACGGGGCCGCAGCCAACTTCGCAAACTACTCCAAGTTCAGCGACATCATCTGGTCAATGCCGAACTGGCAGTCCGGTGGTGGGCACATTTTGACTTTTTCCACCACTACACCTCGGTGCCCATTCACACTGTCGTTCCGGCAACGGACCTATTTGCCACTGAACAGTTCTACATCCAGGAACTGCAACCGTCTCTCAATTTTGGCTTCATCGAGAAACATTTCCGGCCACGCACGGGCTTCATACGCCAATTGGACTTCTCCCAATCCCGGCACATGGGCTTCGCCACCATCTGGCGAAAACGCCGCCGACTACGACTACCCATCGCCCTACAACAGGCCTTCCTGGCCAAACGCGTGGACAACCGCCTGGATTTGTGGCGATTTTTGGGCGATCTTGGCAGCAACACTCTACGACGATTTGATGCCATCCGTTACATACGGAGCAGAGACTTCCCACCCGCCGCTCTCTATGTCCTTCATCGCATAGCCACACACCTGCCTGAACCACACCACCAGGCATGCCTTTCCGCCATTCGATCCAGTTTACGATTCCGGGGCCTCATTCCACCTGGCCCCTCCAGACCGATGCTTGCACCCTTCCTCGCCTGGCGACTACTGCTAACCTGGTACCGACAACGACAACCACACTCCTCTACCACACACCTCACAGTGGACACACTTGACACCTCTGCCATCACCCGCGTCTACAACGGACGCCGTCGCCGACACAAACCCACACAACGCACCCTGTGGCTCGACGACATCCCCGAGATCATTCAGGCCACCCTTGACATGCAGATCTTCTCTGTCGGCCTTCGTTCATTCAGGCAAACACGTGGGGCACCGATGGGATCCCCCGCGTCCCCAGCTCTCTGTTTGATGGTGATCGCGGTCGCCGAACAATGTTGGACCAACACTCACATCACATCGGGACTTCGCTCCGTTGAAGATACTCTCCTACTCCGCTACGTGGACAACAGACTCGTGATCGCAACCCCCAGGTGGCTCTCGACTCCGGCAGCCAACATACTGTGCGACGAACACTTCTATGGAGGAGACATCTTCCTGGACACAGAAGCCGCCCTGGACTTCTTGGGGTTCCGACTGAACCTCACAAGCAGCACCATCTCCTTCATCCCCTCGCATGAGAAGCACAACATGCTCTCCGTCAAGTCAGCCGCACCACTGATGCATAAGGAATCTGGATGTTATTCCGGACGCACGCTGATCAACCGAGTTTCCTTTCCTGAGTTTCAGCGAGGTCAGGGTCTTGCAATGTTGAAGAGGTTGCACCTCCAACACGGTTTCACCTTACAAAGAGAAGAAAAACCGTCCTTTGCGGAACCACACTGGTTTTCTTCTCTGCCTTTGCATCCTGACAGATTTGACCTGATTTTCGCGCCGCAGCTGTTTGACTGTTTGACCAAAATCCGTTACGAGCATGGATACCAACACAGCACGCCAGCTGCTCCAAGACTTCGAACTCATCCTTGGCATTGCCCAACAAGGCATCGCCACCATCCGCGAGTTCCCTGAGAGTCCGCCTGCCGAACCTGATTTGGCACCGGAGGCCACGTTCAACCCCGCCATTGAGGACCTGACCAACTCACCACCAACACCCCTCCTGGCCCCCCTCGAGGACCTCTTTGAGCCACCTCCTGATGCTCCAGATGAACACCTTCCCACTGATCATGACGAACAATTCCCTGATCATTGGGCTCCGCCCACCCCTCCTCCGTCTTCTCCCGGCGAAAAACGAGCTCGCCGCGCACGTGATTTGGCCTCCTCACGATCTACGGCATCCAAAACCTGCTCGTGGACCAAGCGAAGCTACCACATCGACCAGGACTGATGCCTCTACTGAGGCCGAACCTGAAGCCTCGCAGCCTTGGACTGAGGGAGAGATTGAACTCCTCCGTTCCCTTAAGACCAATTCCAAAGCCAAGTATGTGTGGTCAGTCATCGCCACAAGACTTTCTCGCACAATTGATGCTTGCAAGACTCAATGGGCCTTGCACAAGTGATGTCGCCCCAGTTGGGGCTCCGTGTGTGTGAAGCGTCCTGGAGCACGGACGGAAATTCCACATTGCAGGGGGACTGGAGCCGATTTGCCTATCCAGTCCAATGAAGCTACGGCATTTCGGTGGATACCGGATCTGATCAATCCGGCGTACCTGCCTATTTCCTGACCCTCTTTCCTGATTCCTTTGCGGTTTCTGTTTGTCGCTGTTGCTTCCTGTTCGGTGTCGATGTTGTGACCTGTTGATTTGCATTTGCATTCAAGCATTTTTACTGACTGCGTTTTTCATCTCGGCTAGTGAAGCCTCTCGAGATAAGTGTGTGTGTGTGTGTGTGTGTGTGTGTGTGTGTGTGTGTGTGTGTGTGTGTGTGTGTGTGTGTGTGTGTGTGTGTGTGTGTGTGTGTGTGTGTGTTTGTGTGTCTGTGTGTGTGTGTGTGTGCTTGTGTTTGGGGGGTCCCCGCAAACAGGTGTGTGATTTCGGGAAGAGCGGCAAGGAAGAACTCGAACTTCCAGTCTCAAGCGGGTTTGGCTCAGTCTGGGCGGGTGTGACGTTTGCGAGTTCCGTTTGGGGTTGCATTCCAGGGAACGCAAGAGGACACCCACCAAAATGGAGGATACACCCCGGCTTACTGGCTTCATGGGAGTTTCTCTGTATTCCACGTCAGTCAGTTGAGGTGAAAGTAGCGCGCACGCACACACAGACAGATCAAGTACCGAGTAGGGACGCTTCCACTGGGGCATTCTTCTGGCGTGCGAAGCTTGGCGCGCTTGGGGCGCTTTGGAGAGTGCAGCCCAGGTCATCCAGGATGTCATGGTGGCGCACTACAGCGGCGGTCGGGCCCGGGCCCAAAGCGGCGAGTGGCAAGATGTGAGCCAGGTTCCGGCAAAGGGTGTTCGCAAGGTCACCCATGGTGAAGGTTCCAAGCCCGGTGCCTTGGGTTTTTAGATCTTTTTAGTTGGTTTAGGGTTGTTTCCATTTTGGCCCACTAAAGATGAACTTTGAGCAGGGGATCTGAGGACAGCCTAGAAACAATAGGGGCGCCTGTGAGTGAAATGTTAGAATTACGCCAGATGGATGTTGACCTTTCAACCCGCAGGGGGCCAAACCCGAGCAGGCTGTGGGCGCTGGTAGGGTTGCGCCCCGTCGTTTGGTTCTCCAATTGTTGGTTTGTTGGCTTTAATCGGAATGTCATGTGCCAAGCGGGCCACCTGGTGGCTGAGTGGTGGAATCCATATGAGCTGTAGTACCTTCTCTCAGGATGTTGACCAGAAACCAAAGTGAGCCACAGTCGAAGCAAGGACAGCGGCAAGCATTAGCCGCAGCATAATGTTGATTTTTCTGCATGGTTTTGGGTAAGCACTAGGAGTTGATTATGACGCAAGAGTGTCCTTCCATACACGCGGCGCTCAGTTCGGAATGAAACAATACCCTGCCTCATTTGATTTGGTCACTTCAGATTTGTTTTATTCGCAGCCGACTGCCTCCCTTTGTCAGAGAATTCACCCCTTCCCCATTCTTACGGATCCTTCTTTCAGAGCACCGCAAGAAACTACGCGGATGGTCGATAGGAGCAAGGGAAAGCGACGGGTCACCTTCCCCGCACACGACGCCCGCCGAAAAAAGGGCGAGCCTCTGCCCCATAGGTGTCGTTTTTGGTTGTTTTGCTAGAAAAATAGATGGCCCTGGTTTACCGGGTGGTTTAATCATCTATCAGGGCCACCTATTTCCCCTAGAAGGACACCTATGCTTTGTCCCCTTTTTCGAATCAGCGCTTGTCCCAAGCACGCGGACGCCTTCCCGAGGCTCCCGAGTTCCAATTTTTCCCTCTGGTCTCAAAAGGAAAGTGTTACCGACGCCACAGGCGCTTGGGCGCATTTTTTAAGATGAGTTTTCGAGCCGGCCTATTGTGTGTGTCAAAAAGGAGGAGGTCAAATATATACATATATATATATATATGTATATATATATATATATGTATTATATATATTATAATATATATATATACACATTATATATATATATATATATCCGCATAGTGCAAGCAAGTGATTCACCATGAACTATGTGTTCACCTGCATCTTCCGAGAATCTCAACCTGTAGGCTGTAGGTGCCGCCGGTTTTTGAGAGCTGGTAGCATTTTGTGCCGCCGTTGAAGGAGGGGAGCCGCCAAACGCCGGCATGTTCAACTCTCCAACATACATGAACCAGGGCTCATGTTTTTCCTTGCAAGACAAGGAGCAAGCCCAGATTCCCGCGGACCTGCCATGGTACGATTGTCCCTTCTTTGGAGGGGCTTCCTCTTTCAGTCCAAAACTATGACATCATAGCCCTGGGGTCTAGATTTTTTTTTGTGATTCGTGCAGCTGCCAAAGATCAGGTGGCCCTCAATTGGTGGCTTGGATTTGGTGGTTTGGGGGTGGGAAACCCTGGTTCTTGTTGAGGGTTTGTGGGAAATTACCCCTGAACCACCAAAACAAGCCACCAAGTAAACCACCCTTGAATCGCCAACCCACCAAAACAAGCCACCAAGCAAGGAGAGGTAGAGGGAAGCTGAAAAGACCTAAACCAAGGCGTGGCTGGGTTTCCCCATCGCATTTGTCCGTCATTGTCGCTGAGGTGAAGCCCTGGAAGTTGCGGAATCTGGAGCTGAACGCCGCATGGTCGCCATATATCCGTTTTTGATGGCTTGGCACATCACCAATTTTGGCCCAAAGGTTTGCAGGAGTGAGGAAATCAAGGGAACTAAAGCCAACCACAAAACGGGAGTGGCCCTTTTCGGCATGGCCTCTGGGGGTGGGGGTGAGTTGAGTGATAAAGTGACTTGGGCGTGTCTCAAATGGGTGGTTTCCTTGCGGTTTGCCTTTGAATCCACCTCGAAAAGGGTACCGAGCCCCAAACAATACTGACCCACTTTGGTATCACAAGGGCCATTTCCGTTGCATAGCGTCCGGGCAACTTGCCACGGGATACGGCAATTCCACCCATGAAGGTCCCGCCAAGGGGTTCCCTTCTTTCCGGGGTCCTCTATGGCTTTAGTTTGATTCGAACAGATGGCACGGACCTTCAGTTCAGTTGAAACCATTGACCAGCGGAATGCATTTCTTCGAGGACCACCTGGGGTGGGGAGGTTGTTTTGTTGGAGCTCTGCATCGGTTTTGGTTGGATGGCTGATTTGAAGTTTCGGGTGGTTTGCACGATGTGGACTGGGGGTTTGGGATGGTGACTTTGACTGTTTGGACAGTTCATGCTCTTTGCACACCCGCAAGTGGCACTTTGCTCGCTCTCTCTCTCTCTCACACACAAGCACACTCCTTGCAGATTCTCTAAAAGACAACCAAACACAACCCGCAAAGAAAAGACTAAAGTAGAAACATGTGGAGGTGTTAGGAGAAGTTTTATGATTTGTGCTTCGAGCGGGGGCCGCCCACTTTGGTACTCAGAGCAGCCAACTTTCTTCCACTAACATAGGGTTTGCTGTGGTTTCGGTTTCTGGCCCAGCTCGTTTCGACACGTGGAAGCCTGTCAACAATCGTGACACTCTTTAAGCCCCCCTTTCAAGGCACGGCAACATGAACTCCCGGTCCAAGCTTAGCTTGGACGGCCCTTCTACATACATAGGCTTTGATCTGTGGGCAAATTCTAGAGACCTGAGAGGCGCCAAACGCGGCTTCCTTGAGGTCGCCAAGGTGGCCATGATGAGGATTCTTTCACCACTTCAACCTTTGGGTCAGTGGATCAGAATTCATTCAGATTCCCCGAGGTTCCACTTGAGAAGACGCACAATCCATCCTGACGAGGCTGAAGAAAATAGGTTGATGGGCCTGGTTCAAGGGTAATATGAGAGCGGGTAGTCGTTTCCCTTGATACCTTTGGTCTTTGCGGTCAGCGTGATCCATGTTTGTAAGAAAGTGGTTTCTTAGCCTCTGTGCGTTTTGGATTGTCAGCATGAGAGACCCATTTCAAAAGAGGCCTGACAAAAGTGACGCCGGCATCGGTCTCAGCGGTCCGAGGCGCAAGGCGTGCGTCGGCTCCTTGAGGCCACGGTCGCTGCGGGATTGAACGGGAAGCCGGGCGGAGGTTCAAACAAGTTTGAATCTCAGACTGGTTGGATTTTCTGAAAGATGTGGTACGGCGGATGCAAAGGACACCCTGCAAATTCGCACGGTTTGTGGGTGGTTTACTTGCACTATCCAGGGCAGCCAGCGCACTTTGTTGTTCTTGATTGCCGGTTGGTCCACCCCTTCCAGGAAGGGCGGGGAGGAAACCAGGGAGCCACAGACAAAAGTCAACCTGTTGGCTGGTTTCTTCGCCACTTTTAGGCCCTGAAGCTCTTGTCTTGGGCCAGTCAGTCAAGCAACTTGAGCGGTTTGGTGCATGTGGATGAGCTATTCTGAGCATATTGCAGACGCATGGCAGCAATCTCAATGGAGTCTGCCCAGTTTATGGTGGGGATGCACTCTGTAATGGGCAAGCTCTCCTACATACGGTCCGGGTTCCCCAATTCCTCTCTCGCTTTCATGGCATGTTCGGTAAGCCAAATGAAGGCAGACGAAAAAATGATAACGCAAACCATACAAAGTAGAGATTATTGTTGCTTCCCTCTTCATTTGGTTCTATTCTCTCCGCTAATACTATGTTATGAATGAGTCATGGATGCTGAGCGATATTGATAGGAAGACAATGGCTCGCCGATGGATCTGCCAGGATGACACTCTGGAAGCAGAGATGGGAGGGGAGGCCAGGGAGAACCTTCTCAGCGAGACTCAATCATGTGTGGATCATTTTTGAGGGTACTCGTGTTTAGGACAAGCAAAGTGAACCCACCATTTTGGGGGGTCCCCTATTTTCAGACCAGTGCATTGCTGTTTGCAAAGAGTTGAACTCATCCGAGGTTTTCTCAACATACCCCTGTTTGTGTGGTTTTAACAAAACAAAAGGACAGCACTCATTTTGGGGTTCCCCATGTCTAACGCTACAGCCCGGGGGTATCCCTTGGCGGGTTGCTGCATGCAGACTGGGGAAGTGGCGCGATGCTGCCAGCCAACCTGTTTCTTAGCCTTCATCTTGGCTTTTGGTTTATTGCCCAAAACAGGGTTTGGGTCGACAACACAGGGTTCCCAATGCTATCCACTTTCATGTTTAAAACTATATCACCCGACCGAGTGTGCCGTTGAGCCTTTCGCTGACCATTACGCTCTGGGTTGTGGTCGGCAGGGTGGGGCCGGCCGTTGAGCCGGGCGATGGGCGTGTGGGGCCATGATATGCGCAGCTTAAAGACCCGCTCCCTACTTCGAGTCCTCTTTCTGATTGTTTGCAGATGCCTCTGCAGTTTGTTTTGGATATTTAGGCAATCCGATGCCGGTGTATATATATATATATATGTACAAGATACAAGATTACAAATATATATATATATATATATATATACATATATATTTGTATGTAATGTGCCAGTCCCTGGGCCACGTACCCCACCCCCCCGCTCCGATGATGCTGGCAATGCTGGGGATGCTGTCCAGACCTGCAGCTTCGGTCCCAGACTCCCCCTTTCACCCCGTGAACCAACACCCCAGCACCTCTCGCAACATCCTACCCTAAACCAAACCACCCTGCAACCCCTCCTTAACCCCATAAGCCCAAATCAACCCAAACCCCAAACCCACCCGAAACCCACCGCAAACCAACCCTGAACCAACCCTAAACCAACCCACCAAGCCTAAACCAACTCCAAACCACACCCTAAACACCCAACCACCCCACCACCCCACCACCCCACCCCACCCCACCCCACCCCCACAACTGGAACATATATTCACATGTATGAATGGGAGCGTCGGGTTGTCTTCGTGCTGCGAAGGCCCCGCGGGCGTCCAGGCCTATGGTCATGGATGGGGTGCGGGGGCCCAGTTGCCAGGCAGGCAGCCGCGACCCGTAGAATTGCTCGGCTTCCTGACATCCTCAAGACTCTTAAATCAAACTCCGATTTGGCGCTGGTTCCACTTTTCACCTGTGAAGCGGGCGCCCAAGCAGCTTGGGCTAGAAAAAAGAAGACGTCCCGAGTGGTATTTCACGTGAGGCGTCAGCCGGAATTCCACCAATGGGCCAAGACGTTGAAATCTTCACCGGGTTGGGATACAAGGGATTTCAGGAAACGAGAGGCGCAAACCACTAGGACCGCCATAAAACAAGACCCGACGAGGAACTGACGAAGGAACGAAGGCTCCGTGTGAACCCGGTGGGGTTTCTCCGAGTTTTTGCGCGCTCACGAGTGCAAGAAGTATGGACAAAGCGCCGGCACACCTTCACGTCCCTGAAGTCTAAAACCGGAATTTTCCTGACCCACTTGGAAAGCTGGCGATGTTTCCCAGTGGACAGAGAGCATTGTTTGAATGTCGGGTGGCGAACCTCGCCGAATTTCGACGTCGCGCTCGGAGACTCGCAGACTCACAGACTCGCAGGTGGCGGTGGGCCAACGGGACACAGGGCTGCCGGCGAACGTGAAGGCGGTGATGTGGGCCCGGGGCCCCTGGATTTGGCGCTTCCTGTTTAGGGGACCCTGCAAATGGTGGGTTTCCTTTTGGTTTCCCAACAAAACCCCAAAGGGGTACCCCCAAAAAACGAAGCGACCCGATGGGGGGTTCGTTCAGGACTATGGCATGGGGCATTTCCGGCCAGAGCAGTCGGCGTGCGACTCAAATATGATTCCTCAACATCTCGGATGCAAATTGTTCCACAGTGGCTTTTGGTCTTGTGACTCTACAAACACGGGTGCTCAACTCGAAACCCACTCTCAACTAAACCAATCCTCAATCGATTCTCAGCCAACCCCACCCCCAACCGGGGATTCACTCTAAACCCACTCTAAACTAAACCTCAACCAACCCAGAAAGCAAGCCCCACCCCCAACCACTTAACGGGGATGGGGTCCCGCAGGGCGGTTTGTGGGGTCTCGACTGCGAGGAGTGGATCCTGGCACTGCGGCGCTGTGACCAGGAGCTGCTGGAGGCGAACATTTCGTCCGCGTGGTGATTCTTAGGGGGAAGGGTACCTTTTCTGCTTGGTTTAAAGGGAAACCACAACGAAAGCCGCCGGGAAGACATAATGCCCACTGTGATGCCTTCTTTTTTGTGAGGAGATGTGTTTGTGCTTTTGAACTAACCTGCAGCCCGGGCCGCGGCAAAGCAACGATGCGACAACTTGAGCGGCCAGCTGCCTTGCTAATCTAGGGGTTAAGCACTGTTTCCATATTTCCAATTGACGTGTGATCGTTCTTTGGTGTTGGATCCTGTGAAGTCGTGGTGAGCCGATGAAGATGGGCTTGATGTTCGCTGTTTTGTGGTTGCTATTTGCCAGCCCTTGCCGAAACACCTAGCTCGACGCCATCAATTTGAACACATGGCAAGGCGTCATGAGCCGTTCTAAATTGCCTGCGATTGAAAGTAGTGCCGGGAACTTGGATTTGACACGTGTTTTCGGTGAAGTTTTTCTTCGGCTCCTGAGTTGTGGCCTTGGGTTTCTCAAGTTTCGCCCACCTCCCGTGTGGCAATTTTTTCGCGCACTTGCTTCCGGGAAACGCCCAAAGACACGACTCGCATGGAAGGCGGCGGTGGACCTACTCTTCCTGATCGGCGAAGCGGGAGGCGTGGGAAGACGTAAATTTGATTGCTTCCTTCAAAGAGAACCAAACGCCACTAAAAGGGACCCAACATGGAGTTGGGGCTACTTTGTGTGTGTGTGTGTGTGTGTGTGTGTGTTTTTTGTTATGTGTGTGTTTTTCTTATGTGTGTGTGTGTGTGTCTATTCAATCGATGTATGCATGAGTTCAAGTTTGGTTTGTTTTCCAGGCTTAACTGTTAGCTAAACGAGGCTCACAAAGGCGTTTGGGTAGGTAGACGTGGTTGGGTGGCTTCAAATCGGGCCAATCAGTTTACGAGGAAAACCGGGGACCAACAATCTGCCAGAGTCGTTCAAAGGGTTCCCATGTCAGGGTAAACCAGTCGGGGCTTTCACTTTGAGCAAATGAATGTAGCCCTCGAGACCACGAGACTGGTTGGTCTGAAAAATGCAAAAGCCCAAAAGAAAAACGTGTCCGGCCTTTAATTTGCAGGGGTTCCTCCCCCGTTTTAGCCCTCCAAAAGTGGCTTAGTTTTGTTGGAACCCACCAGATCCAGAGACCCCCGTTTTGCATTCAACGAGCCCAGTTCTTGGGCATCGGAGAATGACACATGAGGCTTTTGGAAACGGTGGACTGCCGGTATTTAGGCGGGAACCAAAAGGAAGCCAACACCACCAGAACTCATGAAGGCAGGCCATCTGTGAACACGCCCCCTTTTTGGGAGCATCCCTTTTTCATGAAGGTCAAGCGGCAGACCCGAGTCGAATTGGGGGAGAACCACTTGGACGTCTATGACAGAAATCCAGCATGCAACGACCGTCTGCAGGGGTCGCAACTTTGACACATGTCCGTGTGTGACCAAGGGGGTTGGTTTTTGTTGCTTGTTTTTTGGGATCCAGTTCGAACTTATTCGAGAGTGAGTATGGAGAATCCACATCATGATATTTGGTTGGGGGTAACAGCTGCGGTGAGTGTGTCTTTCTTGCGGTACCACTTGTTTGGTAGTTTTCAAGGAAAACCAATACCAAAACCAATCTTTTGGGGAGGTTCTGCTGTTGGAAGAGGGCTGTCTCTGTGTTGCCGCTGCAGGACGCTGAGTGGCTGTCCGCACGTCTCAAGAGTCGGCGCACTCTGCCTCGTGGACCCCTTTTAGCGCTTTCCAATGTAGGTTTGAGGCGTGTTTTTTCTGATAAGAATTCGGCTTAAAGAAAGCAAAGGGCACCCACCCGGTGTGAGGGTTCTCCGAGAGACAAACACACCCTCCACGCAGCTTGCTGGTGATTGGCCCGACGTGTTTTCCTCAGACTGGTGTCATGTTTCTGCTGGCTCGGCCAGTCATGGCAACTCCAGTTTGCCCAGTAGTCACAACTCCACGAACTTTGGGCAGGGGTCGAAGATGAGCCACCCAACCGTCAATCACTGTTTGCACAGGAAGAGTGTTTAGTTTGGCGCAGTTTGCGCGCGCCGCGGTTTGGGCTGGCTGCGGGCTTAGTTGCTCTGAGAAGTTAGTGCCGGGTGTGCCGAAGCTGAAGCTAAAGCTGCCTCAGCGTCGAGGCTGAAATCGAGAGGAAGCGTAGCAAGCGTATTCTTTGAGGCCAGTTTGGTTGAGTTTGGTTAGTTTGGCTGAACATGGAACTCGTTTCACTAGCTCCAGGCATACCACCAGAGCCATCGAGTCTTTCCAGAACGGCACCTTGGGAGGGCAGCGTTCAGGCACTGGCGATGGACGTCCAAACAGGTGCACCTGGGTTGGAGTTACGCTGAACAGGAAGCCTTTGGTATCCTGACGAACTGGAAAGCCAACTCCACATGGATTCAGCCTTCGTCGGCCATTCAGCCTGGGCGTGCGGAAAAAGCCCTTGGGAGCTGGGGCTGTCAAGCTGCGGACCCCAGGCTTGAGGAAACTAGGACCTAGGAACTCCTCTAAGTGAGCAGCCCTGTTTGGGACGGCAAACAAATAGGAAACCATTATAAAAGGGTCCAGTTCTTTTTTGATACGTTTCTGCAACCAAGACTGAGCAACTCCAAGCATGGGGGGGCAAACAGATGTCATGAGTCTCCTGGTTAGATTGTCAGGATTCCTAGACATCCAATACAAGGCCGGTGGCTGGGAAGGAACCCGTTCAAGCATGTCTGTCGTTCTCGGGGATATCTCAAGGACGTTTTGAGGAGATCCCCCCTGAAGCTTTGAGCCCCATTCATCAACAGTCGCGGTGGATGGGTGGGGAGGGGGGGGAAGGCGGTTGCCTCACTAGTGAGCCTGATTTTCTTTGTGTTTCCCCATTCAACCCAATGCCAATGGCTGTTTTCCATTCGTTGGCTCCCATGGTTTTATGGGCCACTTCCCAAGGCGGTGAGGATGATGCGAGCGAGCCAGGCAGGGACTGGGGTCTTAGATTTCTGATCGAAGTATGTAACGAGCTCACCTGAGGTGCTCGTAGAACGAGCTCACCCATAATTTTGTAGGCCTTGTACCAGGGGTCCGTATTTCCAAATGAGAAGTTGTAATAGTTTGCGCAGATGTTTGCCCTTCTATGTTTTTACTCCACACGCCTACGCGACGCCTACGCGTCGTACGTGCGTGCGTGCGTGGGTGCGTGGGTGCGTGGGTGCGTGGGTGCGTGCGGGTGCGTTTGCGTGTATGCATGTTGCAAAAGAAGGCAGAACGTAATTCGGTGGCGCTGCACTCCACACTTCACTGCCTGTTGCCCCTTTGCTGGCTCGGCCTTCATACGTTACTTCCCTTGCACCAACAAATGGAACATGTAAGGACGGGTCTTTCGTGGTAGTTCCACGCATGTGTTGCAGGGTAATTGCCGTTAGTTCACCATGGACATTACCACGAATTTTGATGGGGAACTACTACCTTAAAAGTGGTTGATGGACATGCCCCCCCACCTAAATGATGACCACCAAAGCGTCCAGGGCCCATGAAAATTCATACCCGAATGGAAGCCAACGGGAAAAAAGCACTCGTTTTGGTGCTTCCCTATGAGACATCCCCTGCTCAATGTCAGGCTCGCCTGAGCCGACCAGCCGGAAGCCCCAGAGATTGGGGACGGTGTTTGGGCGGTCAACTGAGGGACATGAGTTGGACTTCATGCTTGGTAAGACCATGTGTGATTTTGGAGGGTACCCGTCTTGGGCTGCTTTGAAGGGAAGCCAAAAGCCCAAATTTTGGCTCATATGCATATTTTTGGGTATAGTTTTGGCTGATATGCGTCACTGCCTGCCCCAGCTAAGGCCAGCGGGGATGGGATAGACGCTGCTACACGACATGGGTTTAGGTGCACTGCTATTGCTGACGGTTATTTTCTCTTCGCAGGAGGGTTCGGAGGACACTGCCCAAGACTGGTATTTCTTTGGAGAGCGCCGTTTCAGGGAAAGCGAATGGTTTGGGGTGAACGTGTTGACATGGACAGGGGGCAGCAAAAGGAGGATGGCTCAAGCTTTTTGAAGGGCTGACGCCTTTGTGGGGCTTCTTATGGCTTCTTCAGTCAGTTTGGTCAAAGATAGCTGGCATTTTGGGTTTGCCTCCAATTCACCAGTGAAGTCCACGTTTTTTTTTCCGCCCCACATCAACCGCATAGGTATTCTGGATGTTTCCGTCAGGTTTGAGGCAGCTGACTCTCTATGACCCCTGCTACATCAAGGGCCCTTGCTACAAGGGCGTGCTCTGGTTCCCAGCCCGGCGCCCAAGTGCTCAAGTGCTCAAGCCTCGAGCCTCGAGGGGTCTGTGTCTGTGTTTAAGGGTACCCGTTTGAAAGGGTTTCCTGGTTTAAAGGGAAGCGTTTGAAGGTAAAACCGGAGGTGAAGTTTGAAGGTCCCTATTTTGACATCGCCCGAGGAAAGTTTCGCGATTAGGCGCGCTCCTGGCTAGGCGGCTTCCAATGACTCTGAGTATTGATGGGAAGGCCTATCTAAATCTGAATGCACAGGATTTCACCGCAGTTTTTAGGGTATCCATGGTATCCCCCCCCAAAAAAGAGGAGAAGTGGTTTTGGGGTGAATTTCCCTTTGACCCCGCCAAACAAAGGGATACCAACTCCCAAAAAGAACCGCCCGCGTGCCGCCCGCGCCCGAGGGCAGCGAGTTCCGTGGCCCGGGGTGGTACTGCAAAGACCGCCTGGACCTAAAGAAGGAGGACGCCCTAGCTCCTCGCCTGCAAATGTTTAACGATCTTTTTGGGCGGCTTCTTTGGGTTGTTGGTCGGGGCGATTGCTTGTTTGTGTTTCTTTTTCTTTGGGTTGTTTGTTGGGGCAATTGCTGTTTTCTCCTTTTTTTGATCGTTGGTCATGTTTGGGTCGATGAGTTGTTTGGCCGATTTTTGGGTTTGGGCGGTGGACCTGTTGTCCGAGATTCTTTGGGCAGAGCCTCTTAAACAGGGCTTGGCGCGGAACCTCGAGGTGTCCCACCCGCGAATTCCCTTTGTGCGGTGGATTTGTATGACGCGTCCGCTTTTGGTGCCCAGCTTCTCACGTGCGCCCGGCTTGATCCGCTTCTCTGCGCGCGGCGGGAGCGAGCGAGCCTCGTGTGCCTCCGGAGGATCCCTGCCACATCGCGGCGCCCTGCTTCTTCGGCGCCGTCTGGGCCGGCAAGGAGTGGCAGCGCCTTGGGACTGGGTCGATGGGAAGAGGGTCGGCGGGGATCCGGGTTGGAGCCTCGCAACGGAGTTGAGTGCCCCGAGCTGGTTGTTTGTTCGTTTTTTTTGTTTCCTCCAGGGCTGAAAGTTGTTGAAGATCGCGTTAACAGAGACTTTAAGCTCTTTTTTTGGGAAATTCAGTGGGAAACAAGCGGTTGAGCTGGATGGTCAAAATGATGCATCCCCTTTTCGGACTCACGGCTATGTGTCGAAATACGGGGGGCCCCAAAAGTGTTTTTGGCTTCAAACCAATCTGAAAGTGGTGCAAACTCCACAGAAACACAGCCCCACAGGTTTTTGCTAGGGCAAATATCACCGGGCTTACACCAATCAGCTGCCTAGCCGGCTTGGCACCGGTCTGCAGCGGTCTTCCAGCAACAAGAGTAATACTCAAGGGGAAACTCATGTCAAGATCAAGTTGCTACCAGATGGGTTCCTTTCGGATCCCGGACATATGATGTCCAGTGCAAGCGATCGGGGCCCGCTTGTTGGCACCCGTTAAACGCTTTCCCTGAGAAACGGAGTCCCGCGTTTCGACACTTACTTTGGCAGCTTGCGCAACTCGTGTGTGGTTGATTCTGATTTTGGGGCCAGCGGGCGAATCTTCAGTTTCAACGATCAAGCGTGAAGCTCATGCAAAGAGAACTGCCGTGCAAAAGAGAAGGATATCCCTCAAATGTTTCCATTTCCCACGCTCGATCGATGTGGAGGCATCGACTTATTTGAATTAAAAAGCCTTGGCTTTTTGAACCAACAAAGCCCAGTGCACATGGATCTACAAGCCTAGCTTGGACCTCCTGCCTCTGGTTGCTACGACAGCCTTTAGTTTTCTGAGCTTCAGCAACTCGGATGGTCGAACCTGAATTCATTTTGACTCCTGAGTAGTGAACACCTCAACATGTCGCTTCTTGCATGGAGAGCCTCGGTTCCTGTCCGATGTTCGCCAACAATTTGGCACGTGAAACAATTGACGGTGTTTACTCGGACAACGGGGTTGTGCATTCGCGCCAAATCAGTGTTTGCCAAAACAGAGTTCCCGCCCAGCCACTGGGTTCCAAGGGGCCCAACGCAATCCAATGAACCCACGGCTCCTTATTTCAGGAATACCTACGTGTTTTGCTGCACTTCAGATCCTTGTTCCCTTTTTTGTTGGTCGCCAAGTCGTGGTTTGAAGCAGCACAGAGTTCTATCATTCATGCAAGCGGGGTCAACGGTTGGGGTTTGGCGGGGGCCCGTTCCAAAGTTCCGGGACACTTTGGGTGACAAAAATACCGCCGCATGCCGATGTCCAAGGTGTCCAGTCGTTCTTTGTTTTTTGGTTTTGAAAGGTAAGATCGATCCACAGGGCACCTTCTGATCGCGGTCTTTGTGATTCACATATGAGGTTCGGTCAAACATACGCAGTGCATTGTGGCTTCTCTTTGGGTGTCCCTTCAAACCACCCCAAAAAGTGCA